CATCACCAGGCCACTAGTTATCAATGAATCGAAAACTTTCAAATTCTGATGTCCCTTGAAGAAAAACTGAAAGTCAAATAGCTGGCCAAAGCTCATAGAACATCAGTCTGTGATATAACAGCTACCTACAATTCTAGTGAGGAAGATACACTGACTTGAAAAACTAATTAAAATTAATTAGTAGTTTCAAGTACCTCAGATATAAAATCTTGCATTATATAAAAGGTACCTCTAAGGTGAATTTAATTTTTAGAACTTGAATTTAGCCTCTTAAATGTCTGTCTCTCCTAGAAGATTGCAGAAAAATGGCTTATGAATTGCAATTTATGTAGCTTTATGAGACATTCAAAAATTCAAAAGGCATATCGAATACAATGGACAAAAGATAAATCAAATACAATTTCATAAGAAAAAATTATACTGTTTCACTTATACTGTTATGATTATGTCCTCCCCCAAATTCATATGTTGTAACTTATTCTCCCAATGGGATGGTATTTGGAGGTTGGGCTTTTGTGGGTGAGCAGATCATGAAGATGAAGCTCTCATAAATGGGATTAGTACTGTAATACAGGGACCCCAGCCCTGGCTGGTGTTTCTAAGTGGTTAGAGCGTCAGCCTGAGCACCAAAGGGTTGAGGGTTTGATTCCTGGTCAAGGGCACATACCTGGGTTGCAGGAACATCAATGTGTGTATTTTTCTCTGACCCCCTCCCTTCCAGTCTCTCTTTAAAAAATCAACAAAAAATATATCCTTGGATGAGAATTAAAAAAAAAAAAAAAAAAAAAAAAAAAGGAGGGGGATCTTAGGGAGATCACTTGCCTCTTCTGCTATGTGAGGTTATAGTGAGAACAGCTGCTCATAGGAAATAGGCACCTTGACCTTGGACTTCCCAGCTTCCAGAATTGTACTAAGTTTCTGTTGTTACTTATCCATTCAATTTATGGTAATCTATTATAGCAGCCCAAACAGACTAAGATAATCATGTTATAGTGTGAAAGTAAGTGATAATAGGTAGGATTACTCTGTAAAATCTAATATAATTCATCTTTTAAATGCAAGTGTGATTCCGTGATTCCATTTGAAAATATTCTTTTTTTAACAACTTCCTTTCTATAAATTAAAGACAAAGTCAAACATCGCCACCTACAGGGGACCTTTAGAAAAACAACAGTCATGTTTCCATGACTCTCATTTCTCAAATGATACATCTGTAAGCTGAGTTTAATATTGTATTTGGCATCAAATGTATATATCAAGAAATTTTCAGGAAAAGGGTAAGAAAAATTTGAAAGATATACTATGTTAAAAAAAAAACCAATTACCAATAATTCTGGATTAATACTTTCTAAAATAATTAATAACCTAACCACTCCCAAATTCACCAAACATATGATCTGTGGACCCTTCTTTGATTATGAACTATAGTAGGTTAAGATTCAAAGTTATGCTGAAACCGGTTTGGCTCAGTGGATAGAGCATCAGTCTGTGGTCTGAAAGGTACCAGATTCAATTCCAGTCAAGGGCATGTACATTGGTTGCAGGCACATCCCGATAGGGGATGTGCAGGAGGCAACTGGTCAATGTTTCTCTCTCATCAATGTTTCTAGCTCTCTATGGAAAAATCAATATATATATATATATATATATATATATATATATATATATATATATTTCAAAGCTATGCAGCCTCAAAGATCCTTAGTTGTAACTGGTATAGAGTGACAATACCTGTTAATGATTTTCTTTTTCTAGCTATTGAATTCCCCTTTCTACTTTATTATCCCTTTACTTTCTTGGCCAGATTCTCTAAATTTTGAGCTAGTCAGTTTCTAAAGCTCAATCTTGTTTAAGATCTACTTCATAGGAGATTCTACATTGAATTCAAAGCTCTTTTCCTCCCTATGTAGCTTAGGTCCACTCTAATCATGGATAGTTTCTTTTTATATTTCTCCTCCCTTTGCTCTCTTCATTTTGGGAAGCAGATGCTGTTTCCTTATAGCAGTAGCCCTCAATTTAGGCTATACACTCAAACCATCTGGAGCCCTTTAACAAAAATACCATGCCTCTGATGTAATTGGACTCAGATGGGGCCTGAACATGGCTTTTAATTTTCAAGGTGATCCCATGTGCAGCTTAGTTTGAGAAACTGTCTTACTGTGGGGGCTCCCTAATTGGCTATAACCATGTTCTGATAAGTGCCCTAGAGATTTCATGGTGCACAGTGCAACCTGAGCAGCTCCACCCAGCACTGGCTCTCCTCTGAGATCTGTTTGCTATATTCAGCCAACTGGCATCACACCTCACTCACCTTTGCACCTGCCTTTGAACCTCCTCAAATTGCCACACAAGTTCTCTAGCCCCCAATTCACATAGCATCATCTCAGGCTGGCAGGATCAGTCTCCAATAACTCTGCACGACAGTCCCATTACCTCTCCTATTCCATTCGTGGGCTCTGGATAAAACAAATGTGCAGATCTGTTGGGTAAACACATCCAACCAGGTGGAAAAAATGCTGATCTGCCCTTCTTGGAGGCACCCCAAATCTTGAATTATTCTCTCAGGCCTTCCTCCCAGGGTTTCTAAGAGCAGGTGCCCCACTTCCTCCTTCAGGACAGAGGTCCAAGGACTAAATCTCACTCCTCTACAATGTGCTCCTCCAAAAGAACCCTGGCTCCCTGGCCGTGTCGGGGACGGTGGTGCATGTTATATGAACTGGCACCTTTCAGTAAGCCCTGCAGTGCTCACTGGTCCAAACCACTGGTCGTAGAACGTGGAGACCTGGTAACTTTTAACTCCCACTTTGGCCTTATTCCAGAATAGGAAAAAATCCCACTTGACTTTTTAAAAAATATATTTTATTGATCTTTTACAGAGAGGAAGAGGGATAGAGTTAGAAACATCAATAAGAGAGAATCATCGATCAGCTACCTCCTGCACACCCCCGACTGGGTACATGCCCTTGACCGGAATCAAATCCAAGACCTTTCAGTCCACAGGCCGATGCTCCATCCACTGAGCCAAACCGGTTTTGGCCCACTTGACTTTCTGTTACAAATTACTCTCAACTCTACAGTTAGACATTTAGGTCAGTTCCCCAGAAACAGTGATGGATGTATGAATATGACTTAAGATGTTAAGTCAAGTAAATGACTGGGAATAGGATGGGAAGGGGAGAAGGAACACACAAGTGTGCTTCTGGCCAAGTTGAACAGAGCCTGACTCCTCCAGGAAGTTTTGGAGCGTAAGGTACACCTGTCCGAGATAAAGGAACTGGCCTTTTATACAGGAATGTCAAGGGGGCACTTTAGGCCCCAAACTCATAGGTAGACAGTATATCCTGAAGAGGAGGGTGAAAAGGATCTGAGTAATCTGGGTGCCCTATTACAGTTGGTCAATATCGAACTTTACAAGTTTCATAATGTTATAGAACAAGTTAGGAAGTGATCATTAGCCTAAGACTTCACTAATAACTGGTGCTCTCTGCAACAAAGTATCACATATTTAGGTTATCTAACTGCTTAATAAAATGGTAAGGACAAGATGAACAAAGTATTTGAAAAGAACAGTAAAACAAACTAAAGACTAAAGTAGGCCTAAAGGAAAAACTGTTCTCGTGTTATTAATCCTTAATTTCTCTACAGAGGGCTTCTTGTGTCTTTCTGGAAAGCAGTTATCTGCTTTAGATGTTCATTTTCTTCAAAGCCATTTCTGAAGCATGAAAGAAAAATCACAAGACCTCAAAAAGAGTATTTCATTTTTATTATAATTTCTAATCCTCAATTGAGGATATTTTTTCCCAGTGATTTCAAAGGGAGTGGAAGGGAGGTAGGAGAAAAAAACATGGACACGAGAGAGACGCATTGATTGGCTGCCTCCTACTGGGGCTGGGGAAGTGTGTGTCCTTGACTGGGAATTGAACCCACAACCATGCAATCTGTGGATGGACACTCTAATCACTGAACAAAATTGGCCAGGGCAAGAATATTTTAACACATAAAATGTGCCACCTAGCACCAATGCCTGTAAGTACCAGAATTCTATAGTTTATCATTACTCTATATAACTGGTGGTGAGACTTAAGTTTTTGACAGATCAGTCTGTGAGCAGATGATTATCATAACATAAAAAGACTACACAGAATCAAAACCATTTGCTAAATGCATACAGAATTACATTTGCAGTTATTTAAAAATGTCTGTTTTGTATAAACAAGTAAACATCAGTGATTTTTAGCCATTTCCCCCTGGAAGATATATATGAGAAAAGTGAACCAGCCTGAAAATGGGCTTTTTATTTTCACTCCAAGCACCCTTCTAATCTCATGATTTCTTAACTTTCATTCTTACTAACTCACTGCAGTATAATTTACTACCTCATGTAGACATGTATGGCAGAGGAACAGAATAAAACGTTGGCCTATGTAACTATCCAAAATACTTTGGGAATTTCTTAACGTGAAAGAACATTTAAGTAGTAAAGCTATCTTAAAAGCAACAAAGTGAAGATACATGATAAAAACCACTGCATAATTGTTAAAATGAAAGCCTTTTAAATTTACCTATCTTGAAGACAAACTAAAATTTACTGATTTGAATTTAAACTTTATTATAGCAATATATATTTTTCTTTAGAAACTGGATCAATTTATTTATTTCCAGAAAATAAACCAAGTCAACCATGAAGCTTCACTGTTTATTTTTGGCAGACGTTAGGCTAACCTCAATACCTGTTTTTATTTGAGGAGTGACTAATACACAATGTTTCTTATAAGCAGAACTTGATACTGAGCTAAAAGTAAACTAAGTTGGATTTCAGGCCCATTTGCTGGCAGACCGGCAGTCATTTTCTGTTTTGCAGGCAGCTCATGATGGTGGTTGTCTATTATCAGATCTCTAAAGACATGCTGGAAAAATCCGTGAACATAATCTTCCCATGCTCCATTCACATCTTTAGTTTACCCAGGTTGTTAGAGGCTTGGGTAAGATGACTAAAGATTTCACGATGGAAATTTCTATAAGAAAAAAACAAACAAACCCAGAAACTTTACAGAATGAATTATTACAAATGAAGTATTTGCTGGATACTTAATACTACGTAATAGCCTACTAATGGCTAAATGCAATACAAATGAAGCACCATGGATAATGTTTAGAGATAATTCTTTGCTGATACCTAAAGCACAAGTAACCAAAGAAAAAACAGATACATTCAACATCATCACAATTAAAAACCTTTGTGCTTAAGGACATACTATAAAAAAAATGAAAAGACAACGTAAAGAATGGGAGGAAGTATTTGGAAGTTATGTATCCAGTAAGAGTCGAATATTTAGAATATATAAAAAACTTTTACAACTATAATTTCTTTGTACCTACTAAAATGGCTATAAAAAAAAAGATGGACAATGACAAGTATTGGTGAGGACATGGAGAACTGGGACCCTCACACATTGCCAGTAGGAACATAAAACATTTTAGTAGCTCTGGAATAGTTTGGCAATTCCAAAAGTTAAAGAGAGTTCCCATCAGACCTGGCAATTCTATTTGAGGAACATACCAAAGAGATTTGAAAACATGTCATACAGAAATGTTTATATGCATATTCATAGCAACATTATTCACTGGAGCCAAAAAGTGAAAGATACTAAAAGGCCTTTTAACTGGTGAATAGATGGATAAGGTATTGTATGTCCATACAAGGAAATATTATTCAACTATAAAAAGGGAATTAAGTGCTTATGTGTGTTACAACATAGCTGAACCTAAAAACATCGTCCTGAATGAAAGAAGTCAGACCCAGGAAGCCACATAGGGTGTGATTCCATTTACTGTGTCTCCCGCACATTCCTATGGAACCTTTTATGAGCTGAAATGGCATAAAGTAAAATGTATCCCTGCTTTTGCATTATGCCACTTCATCATTTTTACAAAAGACTACCTTAGTACTCATTTTCATTAAGCAAAAGAAATCCAAAGAGAATGTTCGCTTTTATAGAAGCCATTACCATACGATTATGTAAAAGGTCTTTTGTAAAAGCAAAATGGCATAACATGAACTTTCTGAAAGCAAGGGATTCCTGTATATGATGAAATGGTCAGAATATGCAAATCCAGAGAGACAGAAAGATTTGTAACCACAAATTAGGTGCTGGGGGGCAGCAGAAACAGGAAGTGACCACTAATGAATACAGGGTTTCTTTTTGGGGTAATGAAAATGCTTAAAATTAGAAAGTCGTTTCCGGCTGGCATGACTCAGGTTTGATTCCCGGTCAGGGCACATGCCCAGGCTGTGGGCTCTGTCCCCAGCAGGGGGCATGCAGGAGGCAGCCTATCAATGATTCTCTCTCATCATTGTTTCTCTCCTTCTCTCCTCCCTTCCTCTCTGAAATCCATAAAAATATATTTTTAAAAAATTAGAAAGTGGTGATGGTTGTGCAACTCTGTGAATATACTAAAAACCACTTTAAAAGGGTAATTTTTATGTTACATGAATCATATCAATTTTTAAAAAGGAATTATTCTTTGCCAAATTAAAGCCTTTATATTTAGAAAACAAAATCATTATGCCTAAAAATATTCTACTTTTAAAACTACACCACAATTTCAACTAACCTAAGGTAAGGTAGGGGAGGCTGGGAGTAAAGGGGGAGAGATCAACCAAAAGACTTGTATGCATGCATATAAGCCTAACCAATGGACACAGACAACAGGGGGTAAGGGCACGAATGAGGGGGTTAGGGGGATAATGGGAGAATAAGGACCTTAATTAATAAATTTTTAAAAAATGGACTCTTCTTAAGGCATAAACCACTTTTAATCTTTGTATCTCCAGCATCATGCCACGTAAGTTTGTTGATTTGAATTATTAATCCCACCAATCCTCTTACCTTATAGTCCTAAAATCTAAAATTGATCTAAAAAATTACAAGTTATTTGCTTTTGACCAGAATTTACATAATCAGAAAACTTCATCATGAACAAATTCAAAACAAAGATAACAGAAAAAAAATGTGCTAAATTTAACATCCTAAATTCATAAAATTAATCATGTCCCAGCCTTATACCAACCAGTCACATACAGAAGGTGCTGGGATAAAAATAGACACAATTCTTCCTTTCTACAGACTCAAGCTCTAGGCATTGCAGCGGCAACCTGCATAAAATGTAATTGTAGTAAGAAGGAAAAGCAGCAGCAAAAGGGGAATATACATAAAACTGCATTTCTCATTATCAGACAGGCTTGTTATGTTTTACTTTAAAGTTTTTTTCTTAATTAAAGTGTAGATGATGTAAGTATTATATTAGTTTCAGGTGTACAACATAGTGATTTGACATATAACTTTCCTGACCAGGAATTAAATTTGAGCTACAGTGGTTAAAGTGCCAAATCCTAGCCACTAAACCACCAGGGAAGGGCTGTTATGTTTTACTTTGACTATTAAAAAATTCTGAATGGTTGAATAAAGTTCACACAGATCGGAGCTGGCATTTTAAACTCTCTAATAAAAGATACAGAAACTTATAAATAGCTAAGTTAGCTGTCTGAGATAATGCCCGGTTTTAAAGCTGTATAATTTACAGCTGGACAGGGCCTTTAAAGAAGCCTGCCTGTTTTAGAGGAAGAACCTGAGGCCGGAGTCCAGTAATCATCATACTATTTCCCCACATCAAACCAACATCTACACCACCTACAGGCTGAGACACAGTGTTCAGCTACACAAACTCCACAGAGGATAAAGAGCCAGGAATGTACAGTATTTACCGATTTTTTCTTTCTGAAGTATAAAATATGAATATCTTCACTTCGATATTCTTCATCATGCTTTTCCAAAGGAATTTTTTCAAAGTCAAAGTCTAGTTGAAGGAGCTATAAATTTAAAAGAGATATACTTCAAATTCAATAATATGAACTGTCCTGTGTTGAGAGAAGTCAGAATAGTGGAGTACTGACTGGGAAGGGGCACACTGGGAGCCATTTGAAGCTGTGAAAATGTTCCATGTTCTTATGCTAGGTAGAAATCACATGAAAAATTGAGTTGAACACTTGAGCTGAACTTTAAAAAACACTGTCCAGAGTGACAGACTCAGAAAGCCACATAGTGTAATTCCATTTACAAAAGCATTTTACATATTTTATGTATCTGATACATTTTAACTCAATTGGAACTGTTTAACAATACAAAACTTGCAATGATAAAGTTTCAAGAGCTCATTAACATTCCTCACATTTAAGAAAAACCTAAAAATAGCCCAGCCGGGCGGTGGCTCAGTGGTTGAATGTCCACCTATGAACCAGGAGGTCAGGGTTCAATTCCCTGTCAGGACGATTCTCTCTCAACATTGATGTTTCTCTCTATCCATCCCTCTCCCTCTGAAATTTTATACACACACACACACACACACACACACACACACACACACACACACACACAGTATTTTCCGGCGTTTAAGACGACCCCCTAATTTTACAGTTAAAACATAGGTTTAGGCCTATATTTGCTGTATAAGACTACCCCCCACTTCAAAGAAAAGACTTACTTTGCCATTAAGATCTGCAGGTAATTTTTGTGCAATTTTGGTCTTTTGCCCCTGATTTTCGGTTGACTTTTTTTCGTTTCAAAAGTCATCTTATACGCCAGAAAATACAGTGTGTGTGTGTGTGTGTGTGTGTGTGTATAGAAAACCCCACATAAAAATAAAAATATTAACATATATCTGAAGCAGAGTCATATATTTATTTTCTCATTTAACCAAAGTAGTCCTTTCATCGGATAAAACTGCAGGGCTATATATACAGGGGTAGGCAAAGTAGGTTTATAACTGTGATTACACAAAAGAGAGTTTATTCTTTCTTTTTTAAAATAGATTTTTAAAAAATTGATTTTCAGAGAGAGATGAAGGGAGAGGGAGAGGGAGAGAAACATCACTCAGCTGCCTCCTATATACCCCCCACCAGGGACAGAGCCGGAAACCTGGTCTGTGTCCTGACTGGGAATTGAACCAGCAATCTTCCAGTGCATAGGACACCGCTCAGGACACCTGAGCCACACCAGCCAGGGCTAGAGTTTATTCTTCTATTATTATTTATTCATAATTGTATTACTTTCCATATGAACAACTATAAACCCATTTTTGCCCACCCCTGTATGAACCACTTATAATGTGATGGATTTTGTGCATAAAACGGGACTGGGCCGGCCGAGTGGCTTAATTGGTTAGAGTGTTGTCCTATACGCCAAAAAGGTTGAAGGTTTGATTCCTGGTCAGAGCACATACCTAAGTTGTGGGTTTGATACACGGTCAGGGTATGTATGGGAGGTAATCAACCAGTGCTTCTCTCTCTCATGGATGTTTCCCTCCCACCACCTCTAAATCCAATGAACATATCCTTGGATGAGGATTAAAAAGTAAATAATTAAATAAATAAATGTTTGGGTGAGACGCATCAAATGGTTACCTCCTGCACTCGCCCTGACCAGGTTGGGCATCCAAGCCTGCAACTGAAGTATGCACCCTGGACTGGAATTGAACCCGCAACTCTGTTCACAGGCCAACGCTATAACCATTGAGAAAATTCGCCAGGGCTGTGAATTTTTATGTTAAAAAGCAAAACAAAATCAAAGCCCGAAAATATAAGATTATCTTGGTTAAAGCTTTCACAAAAAAGTAGATAAACACAGAAGTAAAAACAGACCATGTTTCCATGATGCACACACACATATATAAAGTATGTTCCCCAAAGCCAGCATATTTAAATAAGGGAAACATTTTTCTCAGAAAAGACAATCATTAATATTATTTTACCTTGTTCTTTATATATATTACATCAACTAACTAGAAAATAAAAAGAAATAAAGGATAAAAAAAGATGAAAAGGGGGAGAGGACTTAGAAGAATGAAGGGCTGTTAAGAATCCTCCTTGGGTTCCTACAACCAGAATGCTTTCCTGACTCAAAATCACCGTAATACACTTAAACAGTCATACAGGACTCCCTGAAGGATAATCACTACAAAGAGAGATGTAGTAGAATACCCACCTCAAAATATTTTTTCTCAATTTCTGGATTTTTCCCCATTGTTCGCTGTTCGTAACAACATATAATACAAGTCTCAGATCCACTGAGATCTTTTAGAGTTTTCAACAGCGGCTCCAAAGACTGTTCAAAAAAGAATTATATTTTTACTGTGAAAGGGGGGTAAGGAAGGTGGAGCAATAATTGTATCTCCCCTACAATTTATCCATCTTTGAATCAATCCAACAAAGTACAAGTAAACGTTTTTTTTTCTTTTTTTTTTAGTAAACTCCTCTTAACTATGTATTGACTTCAGTTTCTAAAGGAAGGGTTCAAATAATTGCATTTTCAAGATCTCATGGGAAAACAAATGGAACTGGCTTTTTAAAATGTTAATTATTTAACTAGGGATTTAAATAATCAAGTTTACCTACAAAAGCAAGTCTGACTTAATCTGAACATAAGTTGGCTAAATGTTCATTATTTCTTTAAAAAATGAGTGATGTCAACAATTTGCACAAGTTGATAATCTTTAGAAATCATACTGTGAGTCTAATAAATCTTGCCACAGAACAATGAATTCCTTACCATGCAATTTAATTCTCAGTACCTTGATTAACATGTTCACTAGGAACAGCTAAGTAAAAAAAATAATAATCTTAAATCCAAATCAACATGATTCACAGGCCTGTATTCCCTGGTGATCTTAATTTCTCTTTATTGTGTCATTAACTAAAGGACAAATATCCTGAATTCAGATATCCTAAAGTGTGAAGAGATATGTGTGCTCCAGAATCTAGGAAATACGGTACATCTTCTAAACTGACTTCTGTCACTGAATATTTACCTCTTCGTAGTATATGCAGTCGGCCATCAGTATGTAGTCTGGCGGAGAAGGAAAGTCTTCTATTTCTTCCCCCCTTAAAAATACCAACCAAATGTTTTAACTGTTGCTTTAATAAGTAAAAATATTTTTGTTTGAAAAACAAGACCCGGAAGATCTCCTTTCTATTAGCCGTTATTTTAGTAAAACGCAATTTAAAGCAAACTACAAATTGTTATTAAAACAAGCCGAAAGGCCATACAAACCATTTCAGTACCTTGGCTTGAACAGAACCAGTGACAAGATGCTTGTTCATATTAATATTCATCTTCAGCAAGTCTTGCAATTCCTCAAGATCGGTGACTACAACATCTGCCCTACAAAATAACGTCGACTGAGACGTAGGCAGCGGGTGGGAAGCTAGTAACCAGTTTCCAAACCACAGGCGCCCTCCCGCCAGCGCTTACCCGAGGGTCGCGGCCATGAGCCCCACGGCCCCGGTGCCGGCGCCCAGCTCCAGCACCGACCGCCGGCGCAGCGCGTGGGCCCCGTCGCCGGCGAACGCGGGCGTCTCCAGGTATTTGGAGAGAACGATGGCAGCGTCCCACACCACGCAGCCCACGCCGCCGGAGCTGTGCTGCTGCAGTCGTAACGCCGTGCCATCTCTCTTCTCCAGAACTCGCACGAAGTCCCTCAGCGGGTCCTCAGCCGAGGACTCCAGGGCAGCCTCCATGGCAGCCCGGCAACAGAATGCGGCGCACCAAGTGACGTCACGCCCACGCGCCTCCCCCGGAGGCCCCGCCTCTCGAGGGCCCCCGCGCCCCCTAGTGGCGGAATTAGAGCCTCGCGTTACCAGCAAAGGCACAAAGCCGCGGGGCAGGTTACCTGGGCGTGGCCAGCGCCGGCCGCCAGCTTCCCGCATCCTGGATGGCCTCACTCCCCTAAATTACAAGTCTGGCTTAATGAACCGGCAGTTTAAATCACTTTTCCAGACAAAGAGAGTAATTTAATCTGCTCTTTAAAAAAACAAAGTCAATCTTAGAATGTTAGAATGTTTTTACCTGATTGGTAAAAACATGTTTTAACTCATACCGTAGTTATTGGCCTTAAATCCATTTTACCAAGTATGGCTATAATCCTGCTTAATAATTGCCAACATGCTCCTAATTATTCATCTGAATTCATAAAAATTACTAGAATTTATGTAATCTTGCTGATTACGTTTAGCAGTCAAGACAGTTATCCTCTAAATTTATATCACTTAAATACTTTGGGATTATGTAACTGAAGCTGTACGTAACCCTTTGAAAATGTGTATATAAATATTTCTACAGAACTGAACAATCTCCCCCCCTTGTTCCTGATACTGAAAACACATATTTTAAAAGTCTTTTAAAAATTAAGACTGGGGTGATTTATTAATCTTGTTAAGCACTCTGATACAAAGCATATTAAAAGGCCACAGACCAGTAAATAAACAATGTGGCTTTGGCTACCTTACAACTGCTGCTACACCATTATCAACAAAACACACTTTTTCATCACTTTTAAGGAAGGAGTCCAAATAGTAAATAAAAGTTTTACTACTTCTCTGATTAAAAAGTTTAATAAAGCTTTAAGTATTTGCTGGTTTAAATATTACCAATCTAAAAAAAATATTTAAAAAATTTTAGTTAACACAGATTTATAGAAAAAGTTACTAGGTTTCGAAGGCAAGGCATTTGGTTCCTATGCCATAAGAAACTTTTCCTTTGAATTTATCAATTAGTAAAGTAGCAGATTGTATTATAGACCTTGAGTCACTTAAATTTACATAGGTTATTAGCATTATCTTTAAATATACAATATAAACAAAATTGTACATACATGGCATATTAACTTTGTTTTTCCAAAATAATAGGCAATTCATTAGCTAAAGACACCATAGTTTGCAAAAACAAAAGGCACATCTGAAAAAATGCATGCCCTTTTCTCCTCTGTGATGAAGTTAGGTAGTCTTTTTGTTTACATTTTGGCTATATAATACACAGTGCATTCTGTTCTTTTCATTCTATTTTTCATTTTTGTCTTTAGCAGCAAGTTCTGGCATTTAAGACATGGCATTAACAAGTTTAAGAACAATGGGTGTTATTCACAATTCTCCTAAATGTAAAAACTAGAAGATGGTCAAAGAAGTTACAAAATCAGCAATACCATACACCTCCCATATTTGTGTAAATTTATTGCCTTAAAAAGGCAGCTATCACTCAAATCTGAAAAATTCCACAAATGCACTACCCCTTTTCAGTGCAACCAGTCACTTTAAACCATATTTTAGCAGAGACTACAGTGCAAATATAAATTCTTTATACTGGCCATTTGGCAGCACTGAGGATCCAAGACAAGGCAATGCTACTGATCACCTGAGGATAATGACGAAGGACTTTTGTATTTGTATTTTTCCGATTTTAAAAGCTTATTTGATCAGTAGCATTTTTAAGAGCATTATTTGTAAAAAGTACTAAAATACTATGCCTTTTTTAATAAATTAAAAAAACAACCTTTACAAATATCATTCCAGTGTCAATGACTACATATGGCTAAGGTCATTGAGGAGTTTCTGCATTTTCTAGCAAAGGTAGTCTATACGATGGGGGGTGTGAAAGCTCCCGTTTGTAAGTCTTTGGTGGCAGTTTTGGTAGGTGAGGGCTTGAATTCTGCCTTGGTGGAACAGGGGGAGCTTGAGGATGAGCAAGATTATTGTGACTAGAACTGAGCACGTAGCATCGACGTGGTACCCTTGGAGAGGGTGTGCTCGGAGGAGTGTTTGGTGAATTTGGACACGTGCTAACGTCTCTGAACCAGTCTACATCTCTGTGAAGATGTCCCAGTGGAGGTGGCTGAAGATTAAATGGACAGTTTATAAAGTGTTCTGGAGGCCGAAGGGGAACTGGCGGAGGAGTATCAGGAAGAGGATCTCTCGGCGGCGGTGGTGGTGGACTACACAGAGGCCCATCAAATGCACCAGTAGGAACAGGAACTCTGGGTTTTACCTTTGGAGGAGGATGTTGTCTTGGTGGAATAGCAGGAGGGTCATCATCAGATTTCATATTTCCCTTTTAAAAAAAGTAATTAAATTATATTTCTATTCTCCTAAAATATCTGCAAGAAAAAGTTATTAAAAGAATTGCCCTGGTCAGTGTCCTCAGTGGTTAGAGCATCAGCCAGCATGCCAAAAGGTCAAGGGTTCAATTCCCAGCCAAGGGCACGTACCTGGGTTGCAGGTTCGATCCTGGCCCTGATCATGGTGGGTTCAGGAGGCAATCAATTGATGCCTCTCTCTCACATCAATGTTTCTCTTTCACTCTGCCCTCCCTTCCTCCCATCCACTCTTCCTAAAAATCAATGGAAAAAATATCCTCTAGTGAGGATTAACAATAACTGAATAAATGAATGAAAGAAAATTCCTATGTGTCAAGTTAAATCCAGGAGTTCAAAATAGGGTAATTTGATTCAGATTTATGACTAAATTACTCCCAGTTTATTTATTTATTATTATTATTTTTATAAATATATTTTATTGATTTTGTACAGAGAGGAAGGGAGAGAGAGAGTTAGAAACATCGATGAGAGAGAGTCATCGATTAGCTGCCTCTTGCACACCCCCCACTGGGGATATGCCCGCAACCAAGGTACATGCCCTTGACCAGAATCGAACCCGGGAGCCTTCAGTCCCCAAGCCAACGCTCTATCCATTGAGCCAAACCGGTTTCGGCTAAATTACTCCAGTTTAATTCAGGCTCACATGCAATATTTTTTAGATATGAGGTGTTTTAATTGAAATCCTAGGATATAACGCCATAGGTTGTCTTGCTTTGTATATACATTTCATAAACTTACGTATTTTTATTATAATAATAGGCAAGTGAATGAAAAGTATATATAGTTTTGCAGACATGAAAGAACATGATGTTAAGAGGATTAATATCCAGCTGCTGCTTTCTGGCTACCTACTTCTGCATTTCCCAGTGAGGCTTAAGAGTCATGATTTAAAAAGTATGATCCAGGGACCAGCAGTAACTGCAACAGTGGGGAACTTGTTAGAAATGTAAATTATTGAGCCTCACTCCAGACCTACAGTATCAGGAATTGTTGGCAATCTGGTTTGATAAAGCCTTCCAGGAGATTCTGATGCATATCTAAAGTTTAAAGAATGCTTTGAATCTTAAAGTTATATCCACCTCTACTAGTTCAGGAACGAAAATGTACTTCTGAGTATTTGTGAATCTGCCCAGTCACTTTTTTAGAAAAAGAATTATGAGTAATTATTTTAAAGTATTTTTCAAATAAAACAACCCAAATGTGTAAAAACCATTAAGGATACCCACATTTTAAGTGACAGACTCTTGAGAAGGACAAGCACTGTTTTTTAAACATTTACAATTTTGAATGAGATGAGGTAAACCTAAGTCCTGTTGAGTACCTTGGAATTTGAAGCATCATGATCAAATTTTTTTCGAGGAGGAAGTGGAGGAGGAATCAGTGGCTCTTCACTTAGTTTATGTAAACTACCACACGAACTGAAGAAAGACTCTGTGGGTTAAAAAGATTAGTTTAACCACAATTTATAGTACATTGACTATATAAATTTAATTTCAGTTTGTGATAACCTCTGCTAAGGCATCTGTTAGATTGTGCTGTAGCTGACTATTGGCTTATCTAACCTCTCCATTAAACTGTAAGCTTTCTGAGGGCAGCGTGTATTTATTTTTGTATCCCTAGCACTTAGCACAATGGTACTACCTGGCACATAGTAGGTACTATAACTAAATAAAAGTATATAATTTCATTAAGATTAAGTAGAGATGTTGAATATGTCACTGAATATCTGAGTCTAAAGGTCAAAAGAGATTCTAGGTAGAGGAAAAAATTGGGGAACTATCATCTTATAGCTAATATAAGACTGAATGAGACAATCAAGCAAGTGAGAAAAAAAGAGGGCCAAGGACTGAGTCTCAGGGCTTTGTTAATAGGTTAGGAAAATGAAGAGAAATCAGTAAGAGAGATTAAGGAGCTAAAAGTAGAAAAACCCTGAGAGTGGATGAACAATGTCATCTTCATGTATGAGATGATATTTTTGAATAAACAAAGGCTAAAACTTCGTCTTTCTTTCTTTTTTATTTATTTATTTATTTATTTATTATTTTTTTAAAAATATATTTTATTGATTTTGTACTGAGAGGAAGGGAGAGAGATAGAGAGTTAGAAACATCGATGAGAGAGAGTCATCGATCAGTTGCCTCTTGCACACCCCCTACGGGGGATATGCCCATAACCAAGGTACATGCCCTTGACCGGAATCGAACCTGGGTTCCTTCAGTCCCCAAGCCGACGCTCTATCCATTGAGCTAAACCGGTTTTGGCAACTTTGTCTTTCTTGTTTGCCATTGAATCCCTTGTACTTAGCAGAGTGACTGGTACAAAATAAGTACTCGATTTTCCGTTGAATGAATAAGACCAAAGGGAGTAAATACTTTTATGATTTGATATGTTTTCAGATTTCTTTCTAGAAGGGTCAAACTAATATACCAATCTATAAGGGTTAAGTAATGTATGAAAGAACCTTTTAACACAGGCTTGCTCATATTTTGATCTGGATGGTTTATTCATGTCCATTGTTAATGAATTCTTGCTATTTTTCTCATTGCATGTGAGCACTTTTCATATTTATTATTTTATTTCAAGATTTATTTT